GGCATGATACGGTTTTCGTTTTTTTTGGCATATCCCAGCACACGTCAAATGTTTCTTCCTCAATAAAACTAAAATATCATAGTGACGTCCTACAGTAATTACAGGCCGCTTTACCTCTGAAAGTTCTGAGGAATTCATGGCAATAACATCCTTTAACTTCTCTAAAGACTTCTTGTTTTCCAGTATCTGCCATGTGGAAAAAGAATATAAAAAACATATTAGGATTTCAGTAAAAACAGTGGAACATATGCTAAAAAGAAGAAACATTAGCAAAACGCATCCCGGAGCCATCCCCTACCGAACACGTAAAAACAGCTAATCCGCATTCAGGGAAAGTCAAGAACGTAACGAGATGACGGAAGAGGAAAATAATCGGAGGCACAAACCTTTCACAACCTTCCTGGCCATGGGAGAATGTGCTAGAATGTGCTAGATGACCAGACGAAAAGGTGAATGCAAAGAAAATGAAAAAAACTGTCAAGTAAACCAGTTCAAATCAATGGATTTTCCTCGTGACAGAGAAAAAAAAATCCCCAAGGTCACTTTAAAGATGCTCTTGCCCGAACCAGAAATGGTTGGACCTGAGGGAGAACAGACAGGTCTCCCACGCAGACTTCCGCATAAGTTACGAAGATCCTGCCTCCTCAAGGAGGTGGGGCTTCTTCACTCTGTAACTGTGGGTGGCGCACAGTACCTTCCTCCCAGGTACAGAGTGCAGAGGGTGGAAAGCAGTAACTTTACAGCGGAGAAGCCACAACGGGCAATGGTGCTTAACGTGCGCTATGCAATATACGGGAACGCTCTCTATTATTGTTGCAACTTTTATGTAATTCGAACACTGTTCCAATATTAAAAGTTTATTTTAAAAAAGAACCACGCAAACCGAAACGTAAGAACTGTTTCAACTGGGCTAGTTTCTTAGCTGCTCTACATGTCTCAGAGGGTCAAGCCCAGCAACATGGAAATTATCCAGGGCCGAGGACAAACATACCTCCTAGGACCATAAAAATAACAACAACATTAGCATGTAAAATGCTTTAAAAGTGGACAGAGGCAGGTGCAATTTCCCTAGCTCCCCATCTTACCCTAGTGACAGCATGGGAAAATGCAGAGTTTGACTCACCCAATCTACAAAGTAGTTTGGGAAAAAAGTCTGTACTCCACATGACGGGACCACTAGCAGCAAAACGCTTACCAAGTCCTGATTCTTGGCGTTCTGATCTCTCTCAGAGTCTAACATAACACGCAGACTTTTCGCTGTATCATTCAGACTCTCGTTAGTTTCTTCCAGTTTCCGGATTTTATCCTATAGAAGATATTAAGATGAATATACTCATTGTCTTTTTGTTTTTAGAACGTAATCTCGAAAAGAGAAGAGAGTTTTACCTTAAATTTAATTGCTTCATCAGAGAGAATCATATTTTGTTTCTTGGTTTCCTGAACATGTTTCTTTGATTCCTTGATCTATAGAACATAAAGCATTCAGAATACAGAAATATTAATTGTTGTGCCATCGAAACTTATCTCCAAGTAGGTGACCCCTTTAGAAAAGAAAGCATTACATTACACATACGATGACTACTTCGGGTTCGGATGGTTTATAGGAAACTGCATTTTAAAGTATAATTTAAAAACAGTGTAAGAAACTATAAGAGGGGGAAATAATTCAAGTTGGAACCCTGGGAGGGGAGAACTCAAAGAATAATGGTACCTTCTGTTCATAATCTGACAATTTCTGTACAAGTTCTGCATTTTCTTTTGTGATATTCTTCAACTTCTCAGAAATTTGCTGTTCAGTGACTGAAAATGGGAGGGGCATCCATAATATTATTATGATCACTACGAAAAATTGAATTACCAAATGTATCAACAGCAAAGACGTCTTAGCTGGCTCTATGAAGGAAAAGCACTTCCCAGTGTGATAAATATTGGCCTTTAAAAAGCAATCTGTAGTTAGGAGCAGTAAATGTGTAATATTAAAATTTAAGAAAAATATAATAAGAACCCACCCTTATTTCAATGTGATTCCAATTTAAATTTATAGCAAAGGTAGCCTTCGTGAAGCACCTTTCTTCTTAGAAAATTTGATCATTTCAAATATATGTCTTTTGCAAAGAGAAACGAAGTATGAACATATCGATTTAAATCTTACTCCTCCAATCATCAACTTACATATACCCCATATTAAACCATTAGCACAGAACTGTTCACACATAACAAATTTGCATGACATCAACATTTAGTCAATCTGCCCCAAATTAAACTCATCATCTTCTTATTCCCAAAGTCTGTTCCACCTCGTCTTTAATCTCAGTTGGTAGCATCACCGTCTACCGTCATCCAAGCCAGCAACCTCGGATTCATAAATGATCAGGAGCTAACACGTCAGACCTCGCTGTATCTTCTCTTAGCTTGAATAACTCACACTGAACACTCATAATGAAAGAACAGTCCAAATAACAAAATAAGCCTAAATACTTACCTTGGTACACTCTATTCTTTACCTGTAAGAGAGAGAAATAAAATTACATTTGATGTCAAAACATTATATTAATAGAAATATTATAGTTCCTAACGTAAGTGTCAAATCCTAACTACGTGAAAATTTAGTAAGAGTGGGTTTAGCCTCACAATTCATACGATTAAAAAACAAAAGATCAAAAAGCATTTCAAGTGTAATTGGTGGTGACACGTCATAGTTTCTAATAGATAAAAGCACTAAGGTAAATACTTCATTTTGCACCGAGAGATACATTTACACATCCATTAAATGAGCACCAACTTAATGAAATAAACACCTAAGTTTAACAATGGAAATAGATAACGCTTTCATATTAAATATACTAATGCTTCATTTACCCCAAATCATTTGAAAACCCCAAATAGCCAGGATGAGGTCTAGAAATAATGACTGTTCGAAAAGACTTTAAGGAAACAAAATTAAAGGCGTAGTCTTTGTACTGAGCTATGCCTCTTCCTCTCACCAGAAGACATCTTAGAAATTTTATTAAGTTGACTACTGGCTGAATTTAGAAATCTAAGAAGCTAGATCGTCTGATTTTCCCGACCCCCTAAAAGCAGTGGACATATAAACCTCAAGGGAAAAGAGACTGTCACAGGAAAGGGCACCAGTAACAAGAGAAAGGATAGCTAACACCTAAATCACCTTCTAAAGATAGCGCTAATTACAGGATAATAAAATCTAAGCAGTACTCATTGTAAAAGGAGTGTTACTAAATGTTTTTGTGACCCAGAATTCACTCCCTTTCAAGCGTCATAAAGGATGATGAAATACTCAGATCAGCCCACGAGTCACCCACGATATCTCACCATCACTACAATGTCTAACAGCGCTCGTCCCAATGTTGTTATAGGAAAACGCATTCAGAGTCCCAACATGGAAAAAAAGACTATTCCTGTAATGACACAGCCTCAAAAACGAGAGAGTAAGCTTCCCTGGCCCTCTTTTCACCCAAGTCAACGGGCAGGAGGACACAGGATGCAGCAAGAAGCAGACAATGGAGAGCAGAGGTCAAGGTCCCAGAAAGCAAATGCTGAGGCAGAGAAGCAGCAGTTAGGACACAGCCTGCACAGCCTTGTGAAGATCTAAACAGGTGTCGGCGTTTTTAAGATGGGAGAAGCAAGAGTCGGGAATAGAAAACGTTTCCCCTTCCATTCACCCTTCTTGTTCTCCCTTTTTCTTTTAAGAATAAAACCAAAGGTTAGAGGAGTCTTCACAGGAATCCAGGCAAAAGGCTCTTTTTAAAGTGATTTTACAATCGTGTGCAAAGAGCGAAAGTTCATGAGCAATGATTTGTCTGATAAAAATCAAGAAATCAGAAAAAAAAAATAATTTCAGAAAGCTACACCTCCAATGCTTTGGCCACTTTAACTGTAAAGCGTCAAGTGAAACTGAAAGCTTTTCATCTGCAAAGCTCACTTACACAGAACGATTTTCCCCAACTGTGTTAGATAGCTATACAACAGAACAACGGAAAATATAATCCTAGGTGTGACTATGTGTGCTTATACATACACTGATAAGCATAAAGATAAATTCTGCACAGAGAAAGGCTCTAAGGAATAAAAACTTTCATAGTGTGTCCTTGGATACCATACAATCTGTATTTCAAAATGAAAAGATATTTTATGGGCACAATAGCACATGATAAAATGAGAAAATCTGTAAAACCTACAAGAAAAAGACTAAAAAATTACCTTATCTCCTAGATATGAGTGTTTTTACCATTTTGTTGTATTTCCTTGTAACGTTTTTCCTGTGTGTGTATGATATCTGCTTTTTTCCACTTATTAAATTATGAGCAATTTCTGTACCCCAATATCTTTGTAATATGTAAATTTTAAGAGCTGACTAATATCCCATTATATGGACGTATAATAATTTTCCCTTACCATGGATCATTTGGGTTGTATCAAGTTTTCACTCTAGTAAATACTGTTCCACTAAATGCCCTCATAAGAGATCTTTAATGCACGACTGCTTATTTCTGTAGGATAGATTACTAGACATCGCATTTTATAAAAGGATAGGAACATTTTAAGGGTTCTGATACATATTCAACTGCTTTCAGGATGGCCATGAGAATTTCAATTACACTAACAATGTATACGTGTGGGCACGAATATAACGTAATCCTTAGGTTTTGATATAAGAGAATTTATAAAGCTTTCCCATTGAGATTTTACATGCTATCTTGTTCACGTAAGTCTTTACCAACAAAGATGACACTGAATTATTTTACAAGGCTAGCTCAGATTACGTGCATGAATTTGTGTTCATGTTAGTAACAAAAAGAAACAAAAGGATGATAAAACATCCCTTGTATTTAAGACTTAAGGCGTTAAGTTAATTTAATTTACTCACGACAAGGATAGTTCTCCAAAAGAAAATGACAAATGACACAATCCCCAAGAAGGCAGTGATAAGCACAGGCTTCCACGGCAGTCCATAAAAATCAGGCCCGGGCTGAACATCATCAGGCAACGTAGCAACCAGCTGAAAGAGAAATATTAGAAACAATGGGAAACCATAGAGAAATCTACAATAGAGCAGTGACAAAGAAACATCCACAGAAATTCTAAATCAATCTCTGTCAGATAAATACCCCCTCAAAAATCTTCAACAGCTTCCACTGCTTCAATAAAGGTAGGATACTGGCAGCCCCCCATTTTTCGTCCCGCTTGAAGTGTTTTTAAACATTAAAATCTAAAGGTCTTTAAGTTGTGCACATTATTTCCAGTTTGCAATAGGTCATATTACAACCTGTTGTCTAACACATGGTTAGACTCCCTGTGGATCACACTCTCTTCTTAGTCGATTTTTAGGATTTTAAAAGCCACATAAAATGGAAAAAAAAAAAAAACTATAGAAGTAATCAACTTCCATGGCTATAAATAAAACCAAAATGACGGTAACACAAATAATATGCTTTTCCTCTAAGAGTTTATCTTAATTTTATTCCTCTTATATAAAGACAAAAATGCTGGGGAAATTCAGACAGCTCCTGATAACTGGTATAGCCTGCTCTGAATTTAACTGTCATCTGTAAAACTCAATGCCTTAATTTTAAATGCTTCCTCGAGGACAGTGCATTAAAAACCTGCCTACTTCCACACTGTTTTCACTGCCCTCTACAAGTACACATGTAACTATCAGATTGGCCCCATCCCCCAACAATGCCAGGGCCAGTGGAGAAGGACCCGTAGGGACGAGACGATGGCTGTTATGGCCGTGACCGTATCCAGAAGTAACACGGTGCCCGGTACATCCTCAGTGCTCCGTAAATACGAGCAGGCGAGGAAATCACACACTCCCGCCGGCCTCTGTCAACAGCACCGCGCCGTCCTGCCCGCCTCGGGCCTCACAAGCGCCGTTTCTCCTCGCCCTGTCCGCCACGGCACCCACTCCACTCAGAACTCGTCCGCCCTCCGGCCAGAGTTGGGGTCCCTCCCCGGAATGGGGGCCGTCACCTCCAGGAGCTTGGCTAGGACGGCTGCGTAGAGCACCGACAGGGGTCCCAGAAGCCCCGAGTTCCCCGGGGAAGCGGTGACGGAAGGCACAGTGGCAGGTACTGCGTCCATTGTGGGGGGACAGCTGAGCGGCGACGACGCTTCCCCGGGGCACGGCCCTGGACACCCCCTCTTTCACCGCTTCCTCCTTCCGAAGGGACCGGTTCAGGGGGCGGACGCCGAGAGTGAACTTCGCCTTCCCCCGCCGCGGCCACCTTCCGCCCTCCGCCTCCTGCAAAGCACGTCACCAGGCCCCGCCCCCGGCGGACCTAGACGTGCGACGGAGGCGGGGCCCGCGGTGGGCGGGGCCGCGGCGGAAGAAACCAACGATCTCGCGAGGCGGGGGAAGAACGAGACCTGAGCGGAAGAAACCACTCGGGGGGTGGGGGACGGGAAGGCGCGACGCTCACCTGACCTGGACCTGGGAGAGAAAGCGCCGTGGTGAGGAAACCCCGAGCTACCTGGACGAGCGTCCGCGTGGGCGGGGACGGGGACAGGTGGCGGATCACACCCACCCGTAGCTGGATCCGTGGTCACTGCGCAGAGCCTCGGGCTCCTGTCCTGAACTCCCGGGCGCGTTCGGGGGGCCGCTCCCGCCCGGGGCCGCCTCCACCCTTCTCCGGTGCCAGATCTCGGTGCCCTGCTCACTCTCCCGTCCTGACCTCCGGGTGCTCATGCCGGCTCACATTCTTACGGACGCCCCCTTAAAAAGCCCCATTCCAAGGAATGTCATTATCACGCCGATGCCATCGGGTTCAGTCCTGGGCCCCACATTTGATGGGTACGCGACTCGTGGAAAGGGACAAGGATTATGAATAGTCCGGAAATCACGTTCTAAAAGTTGAAGAAACTGAGGACATGAACGTGGAGAAAAAACAATTTTGGCAGCTGTTCAAAGGTATGTCTTTGAGTTGAATGTGAAGGAAATTCAGAAGAACAATAAAGCAAGAACAAGCAGGGAAATCCTGAAAAATAAGGAATGGGGGGAAGGTGAAGGCGGGCTCTGTAATTAAGAGCGTGGTACTGTTCCCTGAGTACAGACAGATCATGGAACGGAATAGAAAATCCAGAAATAGCCCCCATGGCGCTGGAAATTCGGGATAAAATGAAAGTCAGCTGGGGAAAAAGACTTTTTAATAAGTGGTGTTGGCGTACCTAAATAACCATATGGAAAATGATAAAATGATCTTTTAGTCATTGTTCATAAGGATAAATTCTAAATGGACCAGAAACCTGAATGTAAAAACGAAAACAAACAAGTACTAGAAAAAATATGGGGGAATTTCTCCATGTATTGAGTGGGCAAAGACCTAAGTATCTCAGAATCCAAGGGAAAAGATTTGTAAACGTGATTACTTAAAAATAAAAAAAAAACACGTACAGCCCCTGCACCCCAACAATGCAAAAATAAGCTGTCTGACAAAACAACCTGATGAAGGATATCTGTAACGTATATAGGCAAAGGGTTAATATTCCTAAAATATAAACCTAAATGGCCAGCAAACCTACAGGAAAATGGGCTGAAAAAAATGAGTAGTCTTCAGGAAAATAGGAATAGCTGACAAAACATAAGGAAATATGCCCTGCCTCACCCATAATAAAAGAAATACAAATTAAACCTACACCTGGATACTACTTCTCTCTCATATTGGCAAGATCCAAACATTTGACCACATACTCTGTCGGTGAGAGAACGCAGAGGAACACGTGCTCTCGCACGTTGCTGACCATGACATGAAATAATACAACCCCGACGAATAGTGTGCGACAGCGTCTCCCCAGATGACCTGCGTAGTCACCCGGTGACGCAACATTCCCACTTCTAAAGACTTATCTCAAAGGTAAAGGAGAGGCAACAAGGAATGTTGAAAAGATACACGCACACAACTGTTATTACAACACTACGATAACAAACTGACCAAAAGAAGAGTTGTTGAATACACTGAAGTATACTATAAAAACAGAAAAAAAAAAAGAAGAATAATTCTGTATACTGCTAGGTTGTGGTTTCCAGAATGTTCTTCCTCATATTCTGCCTTCTTTGGGATCAAATGAGTCTTCTTAATGATTTTAATTTATCACCTTTGTTGGCTCATTGGCTTATTAGCTTTAACTATTTTGTTATGTTATTGGTCCCTTTAGGGTTAATAGTATACATCTTTAACTTATCACAGACTACCTTCGAGTGACCCTAAACTACTTAATGTATATAATAAGAACTTTACAAGAGTTATTGCCATTTTTCCCTCTCCTGACCTTTATATACTGTTGTCATCATACATTTTTTTCTGAACCCCGTACTACATTTAGAATATTTTTCCTTTAAACACATAGTTAACTTTTAAAGATATTTAAATAACAAGATAATGGCTTTGTATGTTGACCCAGAGGGTTACCATTTCTGCTACTCTTCATTCCTTTGTGCATCTCCACTACATCCGTCATTCAGGCCTAAAGGTCTTCCTTTAACACTTCCAAGGTGCAGGTGTGCTGGTGGATTCGTTCATCCTTTATATGTCGGGCAAAAAATCTTCATTTAATCTTTGTTTTTGAAAAATAATCTGCTGGGTATAATACTGTGGGTCGACAGTGTTTTCTTCAAGCATATTAAAGGGTGTTATTCTGCAGTACGCAGAATAACATGCCTCGCCTTAGTTCCTCTGTGAAATGTCTTTTTTCTTGGGCCGCTTTCGCTTTGTATCACTTACTTTGCACAAGTGATTATGATACACCTTGGTGTCGTTTTCTTTATGTTTCCTATGCTTGGGTTTCATTGAACTTCTTGAATCTGTGGGTCTGTAGTTTTCATAAATTTTGGAAAAATCTCAAGCCATTATTTTTTAAATATTTTTCCAAACATCCCTTCTATCCTCTCCTCGAAAGATTCTAGGTACACGTTTATTAGGCGGCTTGAAAGTGTCCCACGGCTCACTGACGTCTGTTCATTTTTCTTGAGTCTTTTTCTTTGTGTTTCATTTTGGATAGTTTCTATCCAAAATGTCTTCAACTTGTCTTCGGATGTCTTCAAAATGTTTTCAACTTGCTATGTCTTCAGGTTCACTAATATTTTCATCTATAATGTCCAGACTAGCATTAATCCAACTAGCATTAATCCAGTATGTTTATCATCTCTGGCAGTGTAGTTTTCATACCTAGAAGTCTGATTTGAGTCTTTTAAAAAGATATTTTTCATGTCTCTACTTTTTAACATCCGAAATATAGTAATAATAACTGTTTTACTACCCTTGCTTAATTCTAACATCTCTGGTAGTTCTTGATTGGTTTTGATTGGTTGATTTTTCTACCTATCATGGGCCATATTTTCTTGCCTCTTTGCACGCCTGCTAATTTCTGATTGGATACCATACATTATGAACGAATGTGATGGTTAATTTTATGTGTCAAACTGACTGGTCATGGGATGCCCAAATTAAACCTCATTTTTGGTTGTGTCTGGGTGTTTCCAGGCGAGATTAGCGTTTGAATCGATGGACTCAGTAAAGTAGAGTGCCCTCCCCAGTGTGGGTGGGCATCGTCCAAGCCACTGAGGGCCTGAACAGAACAAAATACGAAAGGAGGAACTCACCTCGCCCCTGCCTGACTGCTTGAGCTGGGATGTTAAACTTCTTCTACCTTTGGTATTTCTGCTTCTCAGGCCTTCAGACCAAGACTAGACTCTACAACATTGGCTCCCCTGGTTCTCAGGCCTTTTGCCTCTGGCTGAATAACACCCCCGGCTCTCCTGGTCTCTGGCACACAGACAGCAGACATGGGACTTCTCAGCCTGCACGTGTACGTATGTTGACTCCTCGCAGGAAACCTGTTCCTCCGCACAGGCACACCTCAGTTTACCGTGCTCGCTTCACTGCGCTTCACAGATGCTGCACTTACATCAAGGCGAGACACTCTACCGGCAAGTGATCATGAGATGATGGTTAGCGTTTTCTAGTAATATTTTATAATTAAGTATGTACACTGTTTTACTTTTAGACAAATGCTGTTGCACTTAATAGGTTACAGTATAGTGTAAAGATAACATATTCAGTGGGAAACCAAAAAATTCGTGTGGATCACTTCATTGTGATACTCGCTTTATGCGATGGTCCGGAACGGAACCCACGTGTCTCGGAGGTTTGCCTGTACGTGTCCTACCGGTTCTGTTTCTCTAGAGGCCCTTGACGAATACAGTGAACATTCTCGAGCTCTGTTCTGGGATGTAGGTAAATTACTGGGAAATCGTTTTTTTGGCTCTTGCTTTTTAAGATTCATTAGGCGAGACACGAGCAGTGTTTGGTCTCTGGCAAGACCCTCTGAGTGCTCTACCCAATGAGTGATCTGCCCAGTTCCCCAGGAATTGACCCTGCGTCAGGAACTGTTGCCTTCACTCACTTAGATGGTTTCTCTGCCCTTGAGTAGTTTTGTCTCACTCGTGTGCTGGTCCACACTGTGCTGAATAACCCAAGGAGACCGGAGACCTTTCACACATCTCCAGGGTTCTCCCTGTGCGTTGCTCTCGCCTGGTGGTCTCTGCCCTGGGGACTCTGGCTGCCTTCCTGTCCCTGGATGCTCAGCTCCGCCTCCTCATCTCAGGGTCTTCCCGGGAGCTCTGCCAGTGCAGTAGGCTGGGATGATAACAGGCCTCACGGCAGCTGTTCTCTGATTTCCAGGAATTACTGTCCTTTGTAACCTGATGTCCAGTGTCTTCCACTGTTGTTTCATCTACTTTGTTTTTTTCTACTTAGTAGGTTCAGCTAGGAGGGTAAAGCCGGTACCTATAAATATATCTGGGCTGTGCGTAGATATCATTGGCTTCTTTTTAAATATGAGATAATGAAATTTTACAAATTACCTGTAGAGTAGGGTAACAACAGGTGAGATGGAACTGGGGTAAGAGCTGCACTTCTCTGGATAGAACTTGTTTTACAGATTGACTTTGGGTCTTGTAAATATGTTAATTATAAAACAAACAAAATCTTTAAGAAGAATCCCTAAAAAACTGAAAGCAAAAATGAAACAGTGAACCCAATCGTGTATCGCGTTGGTGGCAGGACAACAAAAAGGACAGATTTTAAGCACACCTAGTGCGACACAGTATAAAGACAGAAAGAACTATAAAACACCTTTAAATTGTCTTCAGTAACATGACGATGGTAGTGTTGATATTGGTATTTTTAACACTTGTGTGACTATATTATAAAATAAAATAATTATATCGATGTCATTGAAAACTGGGATTTCCAACTTTGGAAATCTCTGAATTTTTATTGTGAGTAATCTATAAGGCATCATGATGAATATTAAAAAAAAAAAAAAATCCCCTAGCTTTGTCTTCTGAAAAGGCTTAGAGATGATGGCCAACTCAAAAGTAATCTTAGTACCAAGAATATAGTCTCTAAATACGATTGCCCATTAAAAGGAACCAGGGCTCCTTAGAGAAATAGCTCCTTCCAGATCTAGGCTGGGTGTACAAGAGCTTGGAACATCTTGTCACACTAAAAAAGCAAGGAAGGTATCAACCACTAGGTGGTGTCAAAGGGCCCAAGAGCCAAGCTAAAGAGGATCCCACAAGTCAAAAATGGGAGAAATTGAGCATCAATAAGAATAATAACTACAGTGGGTAGAAACAGAAAATATTTAAAAACTCATGACATCATAATGATTCTTAGAAAAGAGAAGACACACACACACACACACACACACAAACAGAAACCTTTCAGGCATCTTTAGATAATGCCAAGAAGATAACTCATTATTTTGAAAACTAAATAGATTCAAAGATTTGTATTGCCTTAACTATACAAACCAAATCTTAGAGTAAAAGATACTTGATTATAAGTTTTTCTTTGAAGAAGAATACCAGTCTTTAAATAAAGCAGGAACAACACAATCAGGCTATCACTATATTGCAGCCTATACTAACAGGTCTAGTCAATATCACCAATGACAAGTAACATCAAAAGAAGATGCTTCTTGATGGAAGAATACAGCATATCCTATTACATATTCTTGCCAAACAAAATTAAACTCGAATCTGACTACCAATTCCCAGGAAATATGAAGAACCAGAGGAACATGTTCAATTATACCAGGGGGATGTAATTAGCAAAATGCAGACCAGAATATCCCCTAGAAGCCAAATAAACCTGTTTCTTCAGTGAATACATTGCAACAACAAACAAAAACAAATTTATTGACAGAGTAACTGGTATATCTGCCATCCTACCGAAAGTAACTAGAAAACAACAAAATATATGAGAAAACTGTTTTCAGATAGAGAACAGGCAGCACGCAACCGTGACCCCGAGACAGGAGCAACAAGTGGGGTGAGCCACGTGATCACCCAGCTTCCTGCCGGGAGAACCCGAGCAAGAGGTGGTGATCGGAGTTCGGGGAGGCGGAGGTGCCCGGAACAGGCAGGAAGAAGTGCCAGAAAGATGGGGGCGACACAGAACAGTGTCAGCGGTCTGCAAGGAGTTTCCTTCAGTAGCACCAGGTAAGGTATTCCTTGAGGATGGGCCAAAAGACAACTACAGACAAAAAGAACAACTACCAAGAAGTCGGAAGCTGAACAATTCCCGGAGTGAACAGGACAGGGGGGCATCTGTGTTTCGGCTGGTCGGAGTGAACTCACCTACCAAATGCTGGTGTTCAGTAGTGCCAGAAGACTCACACCTTAGTAGCAGGGCTGCACTAGCTCTGCAGACTACCGTACACACCTCTCTGACGAATCTTAAAAACGAGACTGGAAAGGATCAAGCTGATCGACAAGTAACTTAATAGACTACCAAAACAAACGTCGACACTTTTTAAATGAAGCCACTAAACTCCAGGCACTCAACAACACACTTTTCACAGTGTCTAGCACCAAATAAATAAAGAGACATGCCAAAAAGCAGGAAAATGGAAAATGTGTCCCATTACTAGGAGATAAATCAATCTATAAAACCCCCAAAATTACAACAAATGGCAATTAATTAGCTCACAAGGGCTTTTAAAGAACTACTTCAAAGTACACTTAAGAACTTTTTAAAAAATAAAACCATGACCATACAGAGGAGAGAAATGGAAGGTATAAAATAGGACTAAGTAGAACTTGTAGAGCTAAAAAATAAAATACCAGAAATGAAAAATTCACTTGATAGGCTTAACAGCAGGTTGGATCTACAAAAGCAAAGCTCAGTGAACTTGAAGACAACAGGAACTATCTAAACTGAACCAAAGACATAAAAGGCTGAAAAACAACAAAAAAGAACAGAGCCTCAGTGACCTATGGAACTGTGGTTGTATAAAGTGGTCTAACGTATGTATAATTGGAGTCCCAGAAGGAGAGGCAAGAGAAGAACACAAAAAAATTTGAAGAAATATGAAAATTCATAGACCTGTATACAGAAAGGGTGAATTTTATAAGATGTGATTATGCTTTAAACCTTTATAAAAAATGTGTTTATTCACAGATGACATGATCATCTTCTACACAGAGAATCCTATGACATCTACAAAAGACCCTGTAGAACTAATAAGTAAATTTAATAAGGTAGCAAGATAAAGTCAAATACAAAAATCAGTTGTATTTCTATATATCAGCAAAAATCAATTGTAAATGAAATGTAAAAAGGATACCATTTGCGACATCAAAATCCATGAAATAAACTGGTATACGTAAACCAAATATGCATGAAACTTGTACACTGAAAACTACAAAACACTGTTGAGAGAAATTAAAGATCTAAATGAATGTAGAGATGAACTTAGTTCTTGGCTTAGAAGCCTCAATATTTGTTGATATCGATTCTTCCCAACCCCTCTGCAGATTCGACATAATCACAGTCAAAATCTCCACAAGATTTTTTGTAGAAATTGATAAGTTGATTCTAAAATCCATATGGAAATGCAAAGAAACTTAAATATACAATTTTGCAAAAGAACTTACCAATTGCAAAGCTTTCTAAAAAGCTACTCTAATTAAAACAAACAAACGTGTGGGATTAAATGAATGAAACAGAACAGAGTCCAGAAAGAGACACACATCTGCAGTCAATTGATATCAACTCAAAAGTGTCAGAGTAACTTGGGGAAAAAGTGCTATGGGAACAACTGGATATGCACACAAGGAAAAAGTAAAACGACGCTGTTCACAGAAATTAACTCAAAATGGAACGCGGACCTGAACATGAAAGGTGTAACTATAAAACTTCGAGAAGGAACATGAGCAGACATTTGCATCGTTGGAACTGAGTAAGAGTCCTTAGGTAGGAAATAAAAAGCACTAACCGTAAAAGTGAAAGTGAATTAAATGGAGTTCATCAAAACTAAAAATTTACTCTTCAAAGGACAAAGCCAAGAAACTGAAAGTCCAGGGTGTGGCCTGGGATGAACTGTTCACGGTGTGGTGCGTGTGTGAGGACATGCTGGGCAGAGGGGCGGGTCACGTCCCGGAGGGCCAGCTGGCCGCTCGGAGCACTGTGGGTTTAACACTTTGGAATTGTTTCTGGAACTTTACGTTTAATATTTGAACTACAACTGATCACAGGTAACTGAAACCAGAAGGCAAAACTGTGGATAAGGGGGACCTACTGTATATGTCTGTCAAAACTCACTGAGCTGTGCTCCTGAAATGGGTACATTTTGCTGGATGTAATTTATACCTCATTAAAGCTGATTTAAAACATATGTCAACTTGTAACATCTGGATCTCAACCAATCCTGATGAGAATGAGAACAATTTTTAAAAGGGCACGGGATTTTGAACGTGCCAAGCATTGGGCGATACTAAGGAATCACTTAAGCTGGCTGATGGGCCCGTGGATTCATTTTACTCTTCTGCTTTTGTACGTTTGAAATTTCCTGTGAGGCAACACTTAAACACGTTAAAGCATAACTTCAACTAGTTAAAGGATTACTACGTAGGAGAGGAATTAGTGGAGGCAAATTTGGAGTCACTATGAGTTGAGCTGGCTGGGAGAGCACTGTGGAGCCTCGAAAGGCAGGGTGCTCACCCCGGGAGCTGCTGATGCCTGACTCTATAACTGCGCAGGTCGTTCGCACCTTCACCTGCTGACCTTCCACATGAGAAGTGGGCAGGGATGAGCGCCTACCAAATGCCGGGCACTGCGCTAGCCACTTCACGTTATCAACTAATCATGTAATTCTTCTTACACCAATAGCGTAGATATTACCTGCAGTTTAGAGATGAGGAAGCTGAGGTTCAAAGTTTAGTAATTTGCTCAAACTTCTAAATGATGTATCTGGGATTTGAAAACCAGATTATCCTGGCTCAAAACCCATGCACTTTACGGAACAAAAAATAACCCTGTTTGCTACACATGTGCATTGCTACGCAGAACCTGGACAAAAATATTTTTGTTAGGGACGATACTTTTCTCTCTAGCGCCAAGGGCAACTGAGCCTCCAACTTTTGAAAGCTCGCTCACTCATTCCCATAATTTACCAAGAAAAACATCCAATTTCAACAAACACCACAAGGGGGAGCTAAGTCCCAAAATCCTTAGACAGCTTCCAGACCGACTGAAGCGCTCCTTTGGATCAAGACTCCCTTTAGAATGATGAGTCTGAATCAATACTCTGCCGTAAGTGACTCTTTCTAAGAAACAAATCTGAGCAGACCTTCTTCCTGCTTAAAACCTTCGGAGGGTCCCTACCCCAGACAACCTCACACGTGCTGTGACAGCTTCCTTTGATTTTGCCCACCTCCCTGGAACACTCCAGGGACATCAGCGGTGCTTCCCTGGCTCCCCAGGTAACCTTCTCTTCAGGCCTCCTTCTCTGAACGTGCTGTTTCTCCTGTCTGAGGGCACGCGACCGACGCCGCCCCCCGCCCGCCCCGCAGCCCTCTCCTCCACAAATGACACACGAGACTCCCGTCGGTCCTTCCTCTCTGCTCAAACGCGTGGCATCAGCTCACTTCCGAACTGCTCCGAGCACCCTCCCACCACGAGTCCACTTACCCAGCATGTTGTTCTACGGCAGGTAAATACTTCTCTTTCTGCCCCTAGGACACGACGTTTCAAGTGAACGTGTCCATCTCCTTGCTGGGACTAAAGGCCCTTGAGGGGAAGAACCGCGTTTCGTAGGTGTGTACACGCCCGCGTCCGGCGAGCAGCAAATCTACTTTAGGTGCTAACCTGAACTAAGAACCATCGAGGTCGTGCACCCGTGGCTTGCTTCAAAGGCTATCTTCAGAGGGTCGGGAGTAATGTCATAAAGACATTCTAAGTTCTTCACCTCATGCTCAAAAACTGTAATCATCAACATACGATCTCAAAAAAAAATACAAATATCAAACTTACCGTCTTAGTTAAATAGTACATGGACGAATATATTAAGAGAATTGCATTTTCCAAAGGCGTGACGCTGGCTGGCTCGTCGGCATTTGTCTCTCGTTGCTTTTTGCCATCAGCGGCATCCACAGGAGAGCTGTCAGTTGTAACGATCCCTAAAACCGAGGGGGAAAACCAATACTTTATGCCATGCTTTAGAGTAAGAATTGTTTCTCATTTGAATATTTATTGAGTTCCTGTGAAATATTAGTAACTGTGCCTACATACAGGGTTCTCTTAAAGACAATTCTATCTAGTAGAAGATTCAGAACCCCATTAGAGCCATCATACCCTTCAGCTATAAAATTAACATATCTCCAGCACACTCTACCCCTCGTCAAGGGAGCTGAATTCCTCTCCCTGCTGTGGCTTCTCCTGTACTCTGAAAGCGGCAGGGGGACCAGCCCAGGACTGCCAGGCCTTGCGGCACCACAGGGTAATGCCATCCCTATGCTTCTAGACTGTGAGTTTTAAACACAGACAGTAATGATGTCATGTCGCCAGTTTCGACAGATAAAACAACACAACCAGCTGGTCTTCTGATTTCCTGGTAAAATGAGTGAGCTACACAAAAATTAGAAAGCTGCTGGACACAATTACGGTGGTTGTATTTTTTTTTTTTTGAGACAACTTTCTCTATGCAGATGGAATGAGTCGCTCTCCCACTGGGTGGTCACTGTGCTCCGTGATTAAGTTACTGTTCACAGTGTCAGTCTCCACAGGACTATCCCCGAGTTCTGTGCTGTTTCCTGTAATCGTGTAGTATAAGATACCTAGGAATAAATACCCTCGTCCTGAGTCGCACGGTACTCTATGTGGGGCAGGGACACAGAATCTGTGAGTTACAGAGCAGTGGTTCTCAAACTTGAACTTTGAAAAGATCGGGATTTCCTGGAGGGCTTGTTAAACACGGATTGCTGGTTTCCACCCCAGAGTTTCTGATGCTGTTGGTCTGGTTGAAAACTACTGTCTTAGATCATAAGCCTTTTTAAAGATAATATTTTAGATTAAAATTATTAGTATAAGCTAATGCCAGCCTATCATGGGTTTGTCACTCAGTTGCTGTCTCTGGCCTGTTTCCTTTTATTGGTCTCCATCTGGCTTAGCTCCCGCCTTCCTCGGTCAGTTCTGGGATTTCTTATTTTTGAAGCTCGTCCATACCTGTGTTACTCTCCTCTCCACTTCCTACCGTTAACCCATCTCCCAGGTCGTCTTTACGATGTGCCTCTATCACAGAGGGAAACTAGCAAACGTACCTGGCTCTACAGCTTCCTCAGTATTTGGCTTCTCTGACGCATCTGAGACATTCATGTCACCAGTCGTGGATTGATCCAAGGGGCCGAACCCTTCAGGATTCTGCATCTGAAGATCATCTGTGTTCTCTAGGGGGAAATTTTCTTCCAGCGGTGGTTGTACCTCTACAGGGAAGAATGCACTGGGCTGGCAAAGCTCGCTGACACTGCCCATTCAGCTATCTACTAAGCACCCCGCCCCCCACCGTCACACAGCCCCAGGCACCTCGCCACTGCCCTCCAGGAAGCAGGGAACTAAGAGTTTCCACTGCTTTTATCTCACTTCAGAGATGGCTAATTTACATGATAAAATTTCCAAAAAAAAAAAAAAAACCCAAAAAACTACCTTATTCCAAAATATTTTATAAATATTTATGGTAGCGACCTCAATAACCTAACTGCCCTTGGCGAACTGACATATGCCCACCCGGAAAAACGTGCAAGAGAATCCCAGTCAAGAGCAAAAATACGAAACGTCCCTTCTACAGAGAAGTAACGTGCCGTTTTACAGACAAGTGTGCTTGTCTCCCAGCGCCAGCACAGGGAAGCGCAGCACACAGAGGCGGCTTGCTGGGTGCCTTTCGAACGTTTTCAAAGCACCTCTAAGGGTCAGAAAGGAGAACACCTGTTTCTGTCCCTAAGAGGCACGGGGCATAGCCCAGTGTGCCCTACAACGAAGATGAATTTTTTGAAACCTCGGAATTGACCCTGAAAATTTATTTGAGTTTTACATTCTAATTCGAAATAGATTTGCTTTGATGAAATGCAAAGATGTCTGCCTCCCTGAACTGTCAGGAGAAACTGGCACTCTGGAGAGAGACATTTATCCCGTCTCTCTGTCCACCTGGTCCTCCGCCACATGGGGTGAAAAGCACAGGAACAGAGACGACAGCATGGAACCCAGAACCAGCTGACGTTGCGATACTGGCTCAGGGTCAATCAGTGACTGCTGACTGAATGGCTTCCGTGTGTCAGGTGCCCTGTGAGAAGGCTCCGCGTCCTGGGCCAATGCTTGAGGAGTCTAAATGCAAAGTCCCCAGTGCTCAGCAGAATTTAACTGACCTAGGTGACAGCTCCAAAGAGGCAGGGAAGAACGTGACACCCACAAAAGATGACCGTTGCGGGGGAATGAAGCATCTCAGGCAAGCCATCGGTTTAAAAGTTATACCAGTCCATCCTTGGTCCGATAGCAGTTATTTTGTAATTAAGAAGCAGTGTTCAAAAAGAGCCCTTTCACAATTTTACATGAAACTTATGTTCTGTTCCCAGGGTGGCTGTGTACATTGCTTTCTTGTTTATATCCTTATCCTACGAGGTTTCAAAAAATTCATCTTCATCGTGGGTCACATTCGGCTATGCCCCGTGCCACTTAGGGACAGAAACAGGTGTTCTCCTTTTTGCCTCTTAGAGGTGCTTTGAAAACGTCCGAAAGGCACCCAGCAAGCCGCCTCTGTGTGCTGCGCTTCTCTGTGCTGGCGCTGGGACACAAGCACACTTGTTTACAGAGCTTCCTTTTGAAAATGCGACCATTCTCAACTGTCCTGAGGGGAAGCCGGGGTAAGAAACCCTCATGCAGGCCTGAAGCGAGGCAGGAGGGGACCCGCGGATGTCCCGTGCTGCGTCCGGCCGCGAGCGGAGCTGTAACCTGGGCTTAGCTGACCACGCAGGGTAAACCCCGGCCGCCCACGCGCCTCTCCGGCCCCGCGCAGGTGCCTCACCTTCGGCCTCCGGTGGCTGCGCCGCGGCCAGCGGCACAGTGTCCTCCCCGGCGGCGTGGGTGTAGCCGACAAAATAGATCAGGTCCTGC